GAGGTTGGAATAATACTGTGAAATTGTGAAAATTATGATAATGCCCTTTTAGTGTAAGAGCTGTTTGAAAAGACCACCTGAAATTTCAGTCTGTTTTGGTCGGAGGGAGTTTTGGCCTTCCATGGTGACATCACCATGCAGTAAACTAGTTAATAGACCAATAAGAAAGTGCCAATCCTTTCTGCCAATAACAGCACATTTTCAGTTTTCCCCTCCCAACTCAAACCACTCTCAGACAGTCCTTGCAACATTCTTGCTTGAGAAATTGCTCTTTGCTAATAAGCATATATATACAGTATATATATATTTTTTCAATTTTAATTGAAAACACCCACAACAAGGTACTTTAATTGTTACCCAGAAATGATTTGATATTGAGATAAATATAGGCCTCCTGTAGCTCAGTTTGTAGAGCATGGCGCTTGTAACGCCAGGGCTGTGGGTTCAATTCCCACGGGGGGCCAGTATGAAAAATGTATGCACTCACTAACTGTAAGTCGCTCTGGATAAGAGTGTCTGCTAAATGACTAAAATGTAAATCAAAATGGCTGCATTGGACATTTAAAGTCTGTGATGAAAGAAAAAAGTTTCCCCCCATGTAAAATAAATTGTGTTTCATTATATTCTAGAAAAAAAGACACCACTATGAATTATAACTGGAAGGCTGCTTTATTGTTGGGGAATAGATTCGTGCTCAAATGAAGACAATCTTTCACTAATTCTCACTTAAAGTCCCAAGTGATTGTGCAACACACTGTCCTTTCTCTGACTAATAGTGGCAAGAGATAACGACAGTCAAAAAGCTTTAAAAAAGTATTTTCAGCAAAAAATATGAAATAAAAGATCTCAGTCATGCTAAAAAATAAAGGCTACATAAATCAATGTATAAATCCACATCAGAATTTAACCCAAGTGTAAAACAGAAGGCAAGCTCTCTCACCAGCTAAATTATCAGTGAACCGAATACAGAGAGAGCACTTGTACTAGATGACACTATATTATGTTAATTCAGTTGATCTAGTCTAGGTGATATTGTTTCTGAGTTTATTGGTTATTTTTGAATATTTTTGACAATCCATGGTTTCCGCCGTGCTTAATTTTGATTCGCTAAATCCATGGGTTTGGAGATATCCTCTTTAATGATTTATTTTAAAGTCTAAAAAGGCAGCTAAAAGGCACATGCCATTAAGAGATATTGCACCAAGAAACAAACACAGACAACAAAGACAATAAAACTTGAAATCATCAGATACATCATTTAGAAAATAACAACCAAATTAAATGTTAAATCCAAACTGCACTGGTGTGTTTAGGGTGAACATGGAGGAAGGTCAGAGCTAAAACGAGCAAAAAGCTGTCACACAAGGCGACCTGAGGCTCAGGATACTGGGGCATACTGACCGGCCAGCACCACCTTGTCTCAGGATAGAGAGTATGTGTGTACAGTACAGTACGTATGTGTATGTGTGTTTATATTCAGTGGGAAGAGATAGGAGAAGTTGTGGGCAAGACATCTTCACACATGTACAAAAGGGTGTGCTGGTAGTGCAATCCTCTCACCAACGCAGTCTACACAATCCTCAGCAAGCAGCCAGTACAATACCATGCATTGTACGCTGGTCCCCAGTACATTGAGATCCTAGGCAGGCCAGAGTTTTGATCATTCACTGAACATATTGCACACAAAAATTAAATGTGAGCTATTACAGTCTGTGGTGCTGCATTGTCCTCAGTACAAGGAGTGGAAGGGAGAGTTGAGGACATAGTTCTAATATATATACTATATATACTATATATATATATATATATATATATATATATATATATATATATATATATATATATATACTATATATATATATAAATATATATATATATATATATATATATATATATATATATATATAGTATAGCTCTGTATATGTATTGATTTATATAGAGATTTTTATGTAGTTGCTATTTAATATTGATTTTTTAGTTGCTCCCTTCTTTAATGTGAAAAGTGACTCCAAAAATCTACTCCATCTAACAAATGTGTCACAGTCTAACAAGTGTGACAACGTGTGTCAGCTGGAAGCCATTCTATTCATAGGTATTCATATTTCTTATTAGATTAATAGCAGTCGTTTTTTAAGTATTTATTTATTTACAAAAACAGCGCATGCATGCACGCATAAAATAAAATGATATATTACATTATTTATAGTCTCTTAAAAAGTTCATTCGTAACTTTTCAGCAATTTGTGCCATTTACAACATAGCCTGAACTGTAGATTTCTAGTCTTTATAGTCTTTTTTTTCAAATGGATGTTTGTAATATCTATGATTTTTTCTGTTTACACATCTATACATGTATATCCTTGATGGGCATGGAGAAAAATGGAAGGCAGTAGCTTTTATGCTTATCATTCAGAGTTTTATTTGGTTCAAGTTAACACCCACACTGATTTTAGAGATCTCATGCAGCAACTGGACCATAGAACTTGAGAAGGGGATTGGGGATTTATTCATAAACAGGAAGTGACATCACTGCACAACAGAAAGTGCAAAAGCTTGGGTGTAGTGTTAATGTGTTACGGCTCACAGTACCTTTAGTATTTTATTAGCATCCCCATTAGCTGTTGCCAAGGCAGCAGCGACTCTTCCTGGGGTCTGCTCTGTTCATTATTTGGTATTTGTTACGCGGTATGCGTTCTACGTAAGTGGAGTAAATGGCTGATGAGGGGTTTTGGAGCACATTTTTCACGAATATTGAATTATGGGGCCTACTATCCAGTGCTCACATACTGTTTGCCTCTGACAGAACTTAGTGTGCTGCTCAAACAAACAAATCCATATACCCTCTCATGACATCTCCTCACAGTGTTTCCTAAGTACCTCTGATTGCTATTGGGGTGAGCAATATTATTGTTATATTTTATTCAGACCTGACCTAAGTCCAAAGCTACACAACCACAAATTTAATCCACTACCTATATAAACACTGCCCTTACAAGCGAGCAAAATGTTGCTGTTTCACTGAGACGCTTCTAGCCCTATATTTCTTAATGTCTTTTTAAGGAAGTCCAAAAGTGGCCTCTGACAGACTGGCTGCCAGGGCTATTGCCAGCCGAGATCATTGTCCAACAGTGTGGCATAACATCACACAAAATCATAAGAAAAAGTGTTTTCATAAATACTCTCATCATCACATTCACTTGCATTTAGTTGCAGAGCTCATTATAATACATCTGTAATATCTCCTGAGATAAAGGGGTGAACTCTTCAAGCATTGCGTGTATTTTTAGGGTCTCTCCGTCTAACAATGACAGTGAAAAACAGAATAAGCAGCAGGGGGGCACTGTTCACCCACTCCCATTCCAAGGACAAATGATGACAATGAGTAACAAGGCAGGTCTCTTTGGCTTCTCCACATATTATTATCCCTATACACCAATTTCTGTTTCTCTCTAATCTCCTAGCCCAATATTAACTCCCTCATAGTTTTGGCTGAAAATACATGTAAAAATGATACAGACTAGTAAACCATCACAACATGTACAAATGAATCAGCGCATGGTAAAGAAATAAAACACAGCAGTTATTGGAAACAGAAATACAACATTCTTTCCTCACTCAAACCCTGTAGAACAGTCTAAATTGGCCTTAGAGAAAAATCAGAAATAGAAACTAGCTTGCTACACCTGTCAATTCCCTACCAACGTAGACACTCCCACAATGCCCTCGTCCAACACAAAACAAAGGCAGATGGCATGGTGAATTAGGTAAGTGATATTGCTGCATACAAATTATAAATATAAGCTTTTTAAAATGTACATTATTATTTTTTTTCTCTTAAAACGATCCACCAAATACACTCAATGATACACACAGACATCCCATCCCATCTCTTCTGCATCCCATAGCAGCAATACAATTAGTTTGCATTTCTCCTAATAAAACCCACAATGTTGGTATTCATTCGACACAAGGTTTCTCATCATAATACTAATGATTTACTTCTAACTTAGAATTTTTGACAGTGGACAACCTCAAACCTATGATCGAGCCACTGTTGTGGTCTGAGTATTAGTGTCTTGTGGACTATGATTATTCATGCAAGATTTCTGATCAAAACATGCCATCATGCAAGTAATTACTATGCACTGAACAAGCACAATTATTTATGTATTTGTTTGGAAATCTGACTGAGTAAATGTAAGCCCTTGGCTCAAGATGACTCCTTAATAAACAGCCCCTTAACCAATCGATGTGAAAGCCCATGTAGAAAAAGCCTTTTGATGTGGATATAACAAAGATAGAATGAGAAGAAAAGTTACGTGAAAATGTTCGTTGTTTTTGTTTTGTACCTTTTTGATTTTTTTGCCACTCAAATTATGTGGAGATACAAGTATATTCAGCATTAACAAACCAAATAAAAACCCTTACATTAGGCTACTCTGGGGCTTTGTCTTTCTCTCCTCAGCCGTTCTTCTGCTTGTTCATACAGACTGATAATGTCCATAAATGTCCTCCATGAATGTTTAAATTAGTCAAGCAGTATTTCCATGTTTTTCCTACATAGCACTGTATTTCCATGGGAATCCGTTGCTGGCGGGAATCCCACACATTAAATCCCTTATCAGCGTTTCTCATTCATTCCTCTTAGTGAAGAGTTCTGTTCCTTATGTGTAGCCCACTATCTGCCCTTTCGCAAACAAAGACATTTCTTCCATATTTTGTCTGTTTTCATTCCCTTTTGTTAAGTAGTCTAGATGCAACAATGTCACACAGTATGCCTTTTAGTTTAAATCAAGGTCAAGTGTCTTCAAGCTGTAAGAGACTGAGCTGCTTCCCTCTGCATCAATAGTATGAAGTCTGTAAACAAAAGTATTAATATTATTATTTTTCTTACTTGCAAATTAAATAATCTGTACATCTGTGGGTTAGATGGTTTCCTTTCGCTTTGCTTGAAGTTACATTATTATTATAATTATTACTGTAATTATTATTCCAATATTCTAACACTTAGATTCCCTGACAGCTTTTTGGTTTCTGCCCTCCTTCTTCCCCCCCTTTCCTTCATTCTCATCCTGTTTTTCCTTGTCAGGTTTGGTGACACTGTCATAGGAGGGGAGAGAGGCAGTGGAGGGCGTGCCCTCCTTCTTTTCCTTTTCCGGATTCGTCCCCCCATTCTTCACATTATTGTTACTGGCAGGTATGCGCTTGCGTTTGAAGCCGCGTCTAGCCAGGTAGTTTCGGTAGGCCTGCTGTATGATTTTGGCCGACACGTCCTCCTGCTTGCGCCTCAGAGTAGTGGTAATAGGCTCATAAGACACTTTGGACGGGTTCGCCGCAATAAAGCGTTGTTCCATTTGATCCCTTAGCATGTCCAGCTCTCCGGTATCGCCTAGTACCCGCTTGGTGAATGCAAACAGAATGTCGAGGCAGTGGATCCGGTCCCCGCTCACCATGGGCAAGTCCATGGAGATCAGCTCGATGGTGTTGGGCTTTGGAACGCGGAGCGGGTGCTCGAGGTAGTCCGCAAAGTCACCAAGCTTGCCATAGGTGATGAACTGCGAGGCGTCTGGGTCGAACTTCTCCCATATTTCGTAGAAGGTCGTGAAGTCGTCTTCGCTGAGTGGGTCGGCACTCTCTTCAGTTGCAACGCCGAAGTTCTCAAGGATGATGGCAATGTACATGTTGACCACGATTAGGAAGGAGACGATAATGTACATGACAAAGAAGAAAATTCCTACCGAGGGGTTGCCGCAGTCACCCGTATTTGGTGCACCTGGGTTCTCCAGTTGTGGGTCACAGTCTGGGGGATAGTTGAGGATTGGTAACAACAAACCGTCCCAGCCGGCAGAAGTGGTGATCATAAACAGGCAGATCATGCTGTTGCCAAATGTCTCAAAGTTGTACATGTCGTCGATTCCTGCCCCATGCTTGACATAGCCAAAGTTAGACATGCCAAAAATAGAGAAGATGAACATAACCAGGAAGAGTAACAACCCGATGTTGAACAGGGCAGGAAGTGACATCATCAGAGCAAACAGTAGAGTCCGAATGCCCTTGGCCCCTTTGATCAGACGCAGGATTCTGCCGATTCGGGCCAGTCGGATCACCCTGAAGAGGGTTGGAGAGACAAAGTACTTCTCAATGATTTCTGCGAGGAACATGCCTGGATAGAGAAGCAGACAGAGAAAGAAGAGGATAGGGAGAAATGTATGATTGCTGATATGTTCTGCAATCTTTCCTTAAAACCATAACATTCTGTCATACATATATTTTTTAAATAATAATAATAATAATAATAATAATAATACAAACTGTCCTGTGACTGGTGGGCCACTAGGGGGAGATGTTAACACATGATCTCACTTTCCCAGGCCTCAAATGTCCTAATAATGTGATACTTCTAGACAGATGATTTTTGATAGAAAATAGAGCATCCCATTTCTAGTACTTTGAATTAAAACGGCAATTCAGGTTCTAGCAATCAAATACCAGGCATGGAAGACAATAGGCAACTGAATGTAGGAGGAAATTGCTCTGACATTGTTAAATATTACTTGTTAGATATTACTGCACTGTCGGAGCTAGAAACACAAGCATTTCGCTACTCCCGCAATAACATCTGCTAAACATGTGTATGTGAACAATAACATTTGATTTGATTTGATTTGAAAGGGATGAAATCACTACTGACCAACAATTGAGAGAATGACCACGACCACGTCAAAGATGTTCCACCCAATGGTGAAGTAGTAGTGGCGAAGGGCAAAGAGTTTCAACACAAACTCAGTAGTAAAAATAACAATGAAGACAAAGTTGACCCAGTAGAGGATATTGTCAGTTTCTTCTGACTGAGCGTCCGTCTCCACCATCATGGTCACCATGTTGAGGCAGATCAACATCATAATAGATATATCAAACACCTGCTGCGTCACGAAGTCAAATACCAGGCCCTGAAAGTTATTCTGAGAGAAAATAGAGAAAGGAACGGAGGATGGATAAAGAAACGTTAGTAGATTTAACAAATTAAAGCGAGGCACATTTGGTTAGGGGACATTCTGAAAGTCTGTTGGTTAGTAAAGTTTAGTTTTCGACATGTCTTTTGAATGTTACCTTAATGAGAAAATGCCTAATTTACGCCTCCCCCAAAGTAGCCCTTGGGTAAAAGGAAGAGACTCACCAGTGGTCTTGGTATAGGTTTTTGTGGTTTTTTTGAGCCAAGTTTTTTCATGGCAGTGTGGTATTTCTTCTGCTCCTCTGTCATGAATATATCCTGACCTCCAAAGTAAAATGACACAAGAAAACATCTGGTTACAACCTTGTTGAGCCAAAGAATTGGTGAACTTGTTCTTAACCTACACTGAACAATAATATAAATGCAACATGTAAAGTGTTGGTCCCATGTTTCATGAGCTGAAATAAAATATCCCAGAAAAGTTCCACATGCACAAAATGCTTATTTCTCTCAAATTTTGTGCACAAATTTGTTTACATCCCCGTTAGTGAGCATTTCTGTTTTGCCAAGATAATCCATCCACATGACAGGTGTGGCATATCAAGAAGCTGATTAAACAGCATGATCATTACACTGATGCACCTTGTGCTGGGGACAATAAAAGGCCACTAAAATGTGCAGTTTTGCCACAGAACACAATGTCACAGATGTCTCAAGTTTTGAGGGAGCGTGCAATTGGCATAGTGACTGCAGGAATGTCCACTAGAGCTGTTGCCAAAGAATTGAATGTTAATTTCTCTATCATAAGCCGCTTCCAATGTCGTTTTAGAGAATTTAGTAGTATGTCTAACCAGCCTCACAACCGCAGGCCTCGTGTATTGCGTCGGGTGGGAAAGTGGTTTGCTGATGTCAACATTGTGAACAGAGTGCCCAATGGTTGCGGTGGGGTTATGGTATGGGCAGGCATAAGCTACGGACAACAAACCCAATTGCATTTTATCGATGGCTGTTTGAATGCACAGAGATACCGTGACGAGATCCTGCGGCCATTGTGAGGCCCATTTTTTTTAAGGTATCTGTGACCAACAGATACATATCTGTGAAATCCATAGATTGGGGCCTAATGAATTTATTTCAATTGACTTGATTTCCTTACATAAACTGTAACTCAGTAAAGTCTTTGAAATTGTTACATGTTGCGTTTATATCTTTGTTCAGTATAGTTTGATCTTATTAACAGGTCCAAGGAATTTGCTTGCTCACACATAATATGCACATACATTTATACACACCCACTCACATACTGTACAAGCTGCTGCTACTCTGTTTATCTTACATCCTGTTGCCTAGTCCCCTTACCCCTATACATAATCTACGGCCATCACTCCACTATTCCTGCACATTATAAATATGGTATTGGAACTGACTTTTAAAAAAATATGTCCTGTATATAGTATGCTTACTTACTTTATTGTGTATTTTTTGTTGGGTTTTGAGTTTGCAAGATAGGCATTTCACTGTACTTGTGCATGTGACATTAAAACTTGAAACTTGAATAAGGAAAAGAGGTCTTATCTTTTTCTTTTGCTGGTTAAAGTTGTCAATGATGACACCAATGAAGAGATTGAGGGTAAAGAAAGAGCCAAAGATGATGAAGGCAACAAAGTAGATATACATGTAGATGTTGTCTTCATAGATCGGCTGGTCCTCCACCTACAGAGAACAGGAAAAACACATTCAAACTCCAAACTCTCCCTCATTACATTCCCCTTCGTAGGTTTAAAAGTCCCTTTCGCAACAAGTTAGTATTGGTAGGTTATTCAGGAACATGTTACATCTGTTCACACAATACCGATCACCAAACAAAAGGGAGACAAATCTCAATTGTCAGGCTTACCTTCCGAGAATCAATGGCGGCATACATTATGTCCATCCAGCCTTTAAATGTGGCCTGTGAGAGAGGGGATATATAGAGTCATGAGAGAAAAAGGGGGAAAGAAAAGTGAGGAAGAAGAATTAAGGTTAAGTGGAAATAAAGGAAATTAGGATGAGGTGTTGAAAAGGAATGAGTGAAATTACAAGATGAAGGAGATAGAGGTACAGTAGGAAGCTATTGACTGAAAAATATGATTATTGACTTCTGCAGTCTAACTACCGTTCAACTTTGACCTTCTCCACAATGAGAGGGGCAAGCGGCCAAAGGAGTGAAAAGTCAGAACATCAATAGGAAAGACCTTGTACTTACCACTTGTAAAAGAGCCAGGTATCCTGCAGCCACATTGTCAAAGTTAATCTTGACATTCTTCCATCTGACCTCACTGTAATTTGCGTTGATTAGTGCAAAGCACTCTGTCTTGTTGTTGACAACGTCCGGTTTAAAGTTCTCCTCTGAGGTCTCGTTGAAGCAGTAATAATACTTCCCTGCAAACAGGTTTACCCCCATGATACTGAAGATGAGCCAGAAGATGAGGCACACCAGCAGCACATTCATGATGGAGGGGATGGCTCCCACCAAGGCATTCACCACCACCTACACACGTGACCAGGGAAACAGGAGCAGCATGAGATACAACTCATACATATATTCAAACATAAACCCACTCCCTCTCAGAGATAATGGTCATATACCTTACGTGAGTTGCACATCAGTTTGGTTTATCTTGACTATCGCCTTGTACTTTTTTATCTTGACTATTTCCTTATATGTTGCTATTACTCATATGCAACTGATTTCACCAACGAGGTGTACTGGTGTTAAATCGGCGAAGCACAGTGAATACTGGGATTGAGGTCCCATTTTTGCATAAATCAGGTGTACCTATTGATAATGAGTTTGCAGATCATATACACTCTTTGAAGTAAAGATGCCTAGAATAACCTTTTGAGGTTTAAAAAATTGCCACGCCGGTGGAACCTTTCCAGGTCAAAATGTTCCTTGAGGAACCCCTCTGAAAAGTCTTCAAGAAATCCCTGTGTAAAGGTTCAAACCTGCATTTTCTTTAATGAGAAGGTTTCAATTTTGAACCTTTTTAATAATATATTGAAGAGGTGGCAGCCTATTATAAGATTGGAGATGTGGCTTATTGGAGGCGTGGCTTTCAGATAGTTATTTTTGGCCACCCATTAGAGTAAATGTCATTCTTGTTGATCTTGTTAAGTTTGTACTTCAATTTTATTGGAATATGTAACATACATAAATATTATATGATGATATTCATTTGATGCCTTTTGACTAAGCTCAAGTGGTTAGAAGGGTGCCTTTTGATTTAAGTAGAATTTTGTTAATATTGTATTTTGTTCAGATTTACCTTTGTTTCTTCTTGTTTTTTGGCAACCAGGTGGAGTGGCTGTCGAGGGAACTATAGGTGCATTTCAGGTTGTTAGTGATGTGGCCGCAGAGGAACTTGAAGCGTTTGACCCTCTCCACTGCAGCCCTGTCGATGTGGATGGGGGTGTGCTTTCTCTGCTGTCTCCTGTAATCCATGATCAGCTCCTTCGTTTTGTTGCTGTATGAGGGAGAGATTATTTTCCTGGCACCACTCTGCCCGGGCTCTCACCGCCCCCTGTAGGCTGTCTCATAGTTGTTGGTATTCAGGCCTACCACTGTTGTGTCATCAGCAAACTTGATGATTGAGTTGGAGACGTGCGTGGCCACGCAGTCATGGGTGAACAGGGAGGATCAGCGTGGCGGAGGTGTAGTTGCCTACCTTCACCACTTGGGGTTGGCCCGTCAGGAAGTCCAGGACCCAGTTGCACAGGGAAAGGTTCAGGCCCAAGGCCCTGAGCTTAGTGATGAGCTTGGAGGGCACTATGATGTTGAAGCCTAAGTTGATGAACAGCGTTCTTACATAGGTATTTCTCTTGTCCAGGTGGGATAGGATGATTGTGTCGTTTGTGGATCTGTTGGGGCGATATGCGAATTGTAGTGGGTCTAGGGTGTTGGGTAAGGTGGTCCTTAACTTGCCTCTCAAAGGGGGGGGGGGTGGAATATACAAGGCAGTGACGATGATCAAATAAAATTATCTCGGGAGATAATGTGGTCGGCATTTGACGGTGAGGTATTCCAGATCGGGAGAACAAAAGGACTTGAGCAGGTGGTGTGCAGGGGACTGGCCCACTCCTTTCCGGAGTACCAGTACTGCAGAACTTGCAATTTCTGTGGAGGTTGTGTGGGGGATGGGTGGGGGATGGGAATGGGCATCGCCTGGCAGGCAGGCAGCCAGAGCCAAACCCAACCCTCGAAAATGTATTGTTGCCATTTATGTGTGATTTCTAAATTTTTTGCTGGCTAAATCCCAAATCACCCCCTTCCTCTCGCCCCTCCATTTGCGCGTTCACACGGCTCTGCCATTTTCACAAGTGTCCCAAAGCTGAGGGAGTGAAAATTATTGAGTGGTAAGGGCTAATTAGACCCTCGGATAGCCACATCAACTGAGCCAGCAAGGCTGCAGGCTACACAGCGAAGTGCTATCCTGACACGCACTGCAATATGTTTGGAGATACAAAAGAATGGAGGCGTGCCTAATATGTCACGTGCATTTGTTTTTCAGATTTCGAGACTTGACACGTAACAGATGAAATACCTCCCAAATTAAATGTTTAATTGTTACTCAAGTTTAGGCTATATCTTGTAAAACAACAGAGGGGATTTGTTCATTTGAATTTCAGGCTCGTTTCATTATTTAAAAATGGAACATGAATTGCATCATTCAAGTCAGGAGTGTGTTCCGAAGATGATGGGTTTATTGATAACTTCGCCACTCTCTGGAAGTTACCCTCGGAGTTGTGTCAGCAACACATGACAACGGAGGGCCCGCCGATCGAGTTAGTAGGGAGTGGTTTGGGATTCACCATCTGTGTTTGATGCAAAGAAGCAGACGGGGGTCAGACCCTTAGGCAGCACTATCCTTTTTCAACTTTGATAACCACAGTATTGGCTGTTGAATGTGTGTTCTCACATGTGGCTTGTCTATAGCTTATTTTTCATCTACTGTGCAGGGTTTTGAGTTAATGGGTCCGTTGCGTCAACATCTTGCGCAGTTTGGTCTGTTCTGCTTGGCCGAGCCAGTGCCAAGGTCCATCCTGGTGTGTCTGGCGCGGCAATACAGGCTGCAGTGACGCAAGGATGGGATGTCGCACGTGCCATTCAGGGAGGGTGACAGAACACTGAACACGCACATGCACACACGGTCCTGGTGGCTTGAACGGGCTGGTTGCGCCGCGGCGCCTGGGGAGAGGCTCCTCTGGGGGCCAACAGGGTTCGGAACAACAGGATGAGACTTATTTTTTAAGGACCCATCCCAACCCTGCACAACTGATCTTTATTAACTCTAACTGCTTTCAAACGGTAAATTATGTATATTGAGTTCCTGAAAGTTTGACATTTGTTGACAGTTTATTTATGATAGATGTAATGTGAAAATGTAAACAAGTCAATAATGATTTTTTCTTAACATTGGTGATTACATAAAGTGGTAACTGCTTCAACTTTAGGATTTGCATAGGCTCTTGAATGATCTCTCTAAGCCTAATTGACGTTACAAAACTGTCAGTGCTCCACCATAAGGTGATGACAATAGATCAGATGACCTGGAATTACATATACTCTTACGGGTGGTCTAAAAATATCTGAAAGCCATGCCCCTACTAAGCCATGCCTCCAGTCCAGGGTTTCTTCAGGAACTCTTTGCTACATTGAAACATTAAAGGTTATTCCAAGAACCCCTCGAATAACCAAAGGCGCAAATATGAACCATTGACTAGCAATGGTTTCTTAAGGAACTCCACTAATTCTAAGAGAGTAGGCCTATCCACATATCTCAGCCATAGAATGTCTGGCCAATCTGTCACAACAGCAGTACAATGGAAAGCGTCTGGAAAGCGTCTGACACTTCCACCTCTCCCCAAACCATGCCCCCCCCCTCCTATTCCTCTGTACATTTGATGTTTTAATGCAGGACATCCAGCAGCTCTTAGACAGCTGAGCTGAGCTTGGCATGCACAGTCATACAGGATCATTTACAGAGCCATGTTCCCACCTTGACAAGACAGTCAGAACTGAGATGAGTGGACTTTGCTGAAGGTTTCCCTCATGTGTAGTGATTATGGCAAATGACCTCAATAACTACACCTATTTAGTTACCTTGATGAGTAGACTAGGGAGTTAACCTCACTAAATGGATATCATAATAATGTAATGATGGACCTGGTTCCCTCTTCGTAACTAAGCCTACTAAATTCTTTGAAGATGTTATGAGTGTACCTTATCAATAAGTGAGTGTAAAAATAACAAATAAACTACTACTATTGTCAGTGGTTGTTGTTCTGTTTTTCTGTTATTGTCGACTGCTGTTGCCAAGAAGGGAAACATGGCTCTCTGGTGTATGTGTATTACATGCATGTTGGAGTAAATGTTTCAGGCATTATCAGTCAAATATTAGCACAATGATCCTGTATTATGGAGGTTTAGGGCTCTATTCAATCTGTATCGCTGAAGCTTTACAGATTGCGGGATAGAAACTAAAAGGTAATTTCCGATTGAGACGACATATGCAGCGTTTACCGTGAATGGCAGGAACTGTGAGGGGACACACACACAAACGCACACACAGACACACTAACGCACACATACATTTAAATTTTATATTTTTTGTTGTCGTATTGTTTGTACATCGTTGTATTTTTTATTTGTGTGACTGTGTCTATTAGTGTATCCGTGTTTTGTTACTTGTCATGTTTTGTATTTCCGATGTTGAGCTTGCTGTGGGCCAGCCTACACAGGCCCAACACAGGCTAGCCCACATCAAGCCCAGCATGGGCTAGCCCACACCAGCTACTTCATAATGTAGAGGTGGGGGCTCATTAGAATATTTGTAGGTGTGGTGTGCACACGGGCTAGCCACACCAGCCCAACACAGGCTAGCCCGTGTTGGGCTGGTGTGGGCTTGGTGTGGGAAAGCCCATGCTGGGCTGGTGTGAGTTTGTTGTGGGCTAGCCTGTGTTGGGCTGGTGTAGGCTGGCCTGTGTTGGGCTGATGTGGACTTGGTGTGGGCTAGCCTGTGTTAGGTTGGTGTAGGATGGCCTGTGTTTGGCTATGTGTGGGATTGGTGTGGGCTAGCCTGTGTTGGGCTGGTGCTGGTGATGGCTAGCCCATGTCATTAAAGATGGATTAGTATGAAAAAGCCCAGAAACTGCTTCTCCAATATAAATCCCTGATCATACTTGTAGGCGATGTCATGGCGACGTTAGCTAGCTAAGCTCATGTGCTGAAACACGTCATTGGGTCTAACAGTCGGGTCGCACCGAACTGTGCATGCCGTCAAATCAAAGACACTCCTTCGATATGAAGTTGTTTTGATCAAAATTAAAACATGTCAGTTTGTCACTTTCACAAGGTTGGAGTAATTACATGTTCAGCTACTTTAATACTTTTTTAGAAATTGAATTTTTACAACTAAGGACACATTTTTCACTTCTCTCATTGACATCCCAAACCCCGGTCTGGTCTGTCAAAATATCGTCCTGTTGGGCCTCTGGGTTTGAAAACTCTGTGATGTTGGGCTGGTGTGGGGTTCATGTGGGCTAGCCTTTGTTGGGTTGGTGATGGCTAGCCCATGTTGGGCTGGTGTGGGCTTGGTGTGGGCTAGCCTGTGCTGGGCTAGCCCATGTTGGGCTGGTGTGGGCTTGGTGTGGGCTAGCCCGTGCACACCTTGCCCACTGAATACCCACATGGGTCCAATAGGGTCATGTTTTCTGGGGTGATTCTTGTAAGTCATGTGTTACATTGGAAGGTTAGAGTGAGACACGTGAAACAGTAGTTGAAGGAACAGGGTACAGGGAGGATCTCTTGCTTGAAAGCCCTCGATAGTAAAAGTGAGAGCTCTAAATTAAGTACAATAGATTGCTAATTTCAGTGGATAAAATTACATACCATTCATATGGGATGAGTGATTTCATTCTCCAGTCTTCTTTCACAAGTTCTACATCTCTACTCTGTTTTGACATTGTAATGAGGCAGCTTTGCAACATATTGCCATTTTACCAATCAACATTTTATCATTACAATTAACCTGAAATTCCTTTCAAACTGATACTATATCAATCCATATTTTAGATAATCATTGCTTTCTTATTTTATCAGCTGCACCATGACTTTCTGAAATGATATATTTTCATGCAAATGGCGTGTCACTAACCACATTTCCATCCACAGTTTTAATGCGAGTAAAGTCATACTGTATAAAATAAAATCACGACAGCTATGATAATTTTATAAATGTCTGCAGATAATTTGTTCCGTTTGACATGGTGGGATCTTTTTGTGTCTGTAAAATGTATAATGCAAGAAATGAGAGTGGAAAAGTCTTTAGGCGCAAATATTGATAATAAACTTGTATCCCTTTCATACTAAGACGTTTTTCTGCCAACTTTATCATACCGCCAACTTTTTTCTGCCTTTTCTTTATATCTCAAAGGCATTGCCTCTTGCAGGTATCAAAGCCAAAACTTTTATTTCCGCCAAACGACCTAGCATTTCGGTAAAGTTCTGCCTACGGCTTAGTATGAAACGTAGCCGTAATGCTGAGGTGGCTTTGGCATGCACTACGCTCTTAAACTCTTGATGGTTGCTAGGCAGTGCACATTAACCATCCTCCTGCCAGTTCTAAACTTTGCAAGGCATGCCACTTTGTCCATCTCTCCGCATCTCCCACCACTAAGCATGAACTGTTTTCTTAACCACAACTAGATGGATCCATAAATACTTACTGTGGTAAATAAATATCACTGAATGACGAAAATATTGGAATAAAGTAGGATAATGCAATTGAAGGCATGTAGGCCTATCAAATTGTTGCTTACTGAAACTCCCAAAGTCATCCAATCCTTGTAATAATTTGAAGCAATTACCTACCCACGTGTGGTCAACTAGATGGTAATTTCAGCACCGTTTTGATTGGGACAGCGCCATTGTGCTGCTTTGAGACAAGCGTGGGGACTCTTCTTGATAAATCAATAAATGTCCGATTTTTGTTTTCCCTGAATCTCCGTTTGGATGTTGGTTTGGATTAGGCTGGGGAAATGTTAGCTAAGTTGAGGTGAGTGCTGTCCATGATCATCTTGTCTAGTTCATTATAGCATGCATTGGTGCTGTAACTGTTGAATGGACATGCAGAAGGACCAGCTGCCTGGTGTTTTAGATCTTACCCTCATCCCTTCAAAACGAGACAGGGCCCTAAGGGGCCTCAAGGCCCTCAATGTCCGTAGTGATTTAACGGGCCCTAGATCGGAGTAGCCCATCGCATTAGCTATAAGAGTGATTATAGAAACCTATACAGAGACAGAGAGAGGAAGAGAGAAGGAAGAGAGAGGGTCCAAACAGTTAGAAAGGGTAACAGAGAGATAGACTCTACTGGACCAATTTTGATTGTTGTTTTGGTTTAGTTTGTAACGCAGGTGAAGCTTGAAAATAAGCTCTATAGTATACCTGGTTAGAAACTTGTGGTTGACAGAGAAATAGGGGGAAAATAAGTGGAGAGAAAAAGAGGTAGCAGAATCAAACAAATGGGAAATTGGAGAGGAGAAATGCGTTCACAAAAATTCACTTAATATGACACAAGACACAGTATATGTACAATATTCACAAAATTCACAAAGTACCAGTTGAGTATAAGAATGGAGATGGGAGCCAGGAGGGTGAGGGCGGTAGTGGGGACGAGTAGGAGAGAGGACAACCTGTGAAAGGGAGAGTCCCGAGACAAAACCACAAGAACCTTACCCTGGCCCCTCAACCACCGGCCCCCAAGCCAAGTCCCTCTCGTCTGCAGTACAACACCCCTTTTAATTTTAAGAGAGACACGGTTACAGGTACCTGCGAGAGAAGGTACAGGTTGAATGTGCACATCCCTGAGCCATCTCATACTCACATTTAGTTCTATTCTAGACCACAAATGGAACTCATGAGGGAGCCATAGCCTACATAAGGTGACGCAAGGGACGCAAGATGTGGTTTGACACAGTGGTAGAGTAGTTACAGGACAGAGAGGCACAATGAGTCAAAGAGGCACAGAGAGCACGGGACACCACGCCTGTTAAAAAACTTGAGCTCCCTTCCCCTCTGTCTCCCATGACCATCCATGATAATGTGATACTGGCAGGGGGGGATTTGGGTCAAGGGCAAACATCTTCCTCTGTTTGTATTCCTCATCAAATGGCATAGGACTCTGGACTGTCAGATGGGCATTGAGAAACAGGGGACAGTTTCATTCAAAGGGATTTGCAAATATGTCTACCAATGACAAATACTATACTTTATTACAGCTCTGAAGGGACAGACTTATTCTCTTCTGGGAACTGTTGACAAAGGCTGTCTTTGAGAAATAGCTGATCTTTCAGTTTCACTCAGTCATGAAAATGTACATTAGCTATATCTATAATGTACTGAGTACTTCCTATGACACTATGCTCTTCTTTGCCATGGGTTTCTTTTTCTCAAAGAAAATGATCTCTATCACATATACACACAGCCTTTGTCCATGTATGTCCACTGGCTTTTATAATGGCACACTAAAGCTTCCACTGTCCTCTAGGCTACTACACTGTCGTTGCTCTTTGGGGTGATGGTCACCTTCAGCTTCTGTCTGCTTGATGCCCCCTGTAGTAAAGGTGGGGAGTGGCCGCCATGCCTCCCTCCTCTGGCTCTGCAAGGAGAAACTGAGGAGAGAGACATGCACCTTCTGAGTAACCCACAATACACAGGCAGGCACACAAATACCAACAAACACACACAAACACACACACACACGCACTCCCACAAAACCGAGCACAGACATTAACACATACACAAACCATCAGGATTGAGAAGACATTAGTTGATAATGGAGTTTAAGGTTTGACTCAGAAGTCATGACTTGACTTACCATCCATCACATGACCCAACACAACACATCCAACAGGACAAATCAAGGGCAAAAGATAACTTTACATTTGCTCTTCCAGAGACACGGGAAGATACAGACACCACAGCCTTCTTTACATAACAGTAGAAAAATGTTACTGGGCAAAGCAACACTGGATGAAAACCCCCCACATTGCAACACCAGAACCGAAGAGAGCTTGTATGGCATTGTGATGTGTCCCATGGGGACAGCGTAACATTTTTCTTTGACTTTTTCTTGAAATGTACACCTTATATAAATGTTAAAAATTGTTGACAGTCCCCGCCATCCCATTTCCCGTCCTGCCTGTCACCCCTACCCCCCACCCCTACCATCCCCTTTGTTGTTTACGTAGTAACGTGCTACTGTAAACCACATTGTTGACTCACTGCTAATACCACACCTCCCATTCCAGGCTGTAATATTCCATATTACAGCGGTTCACTCACAGCAACGACAAGATAGGTCAACTAAACAGCAACAGATAACACACTAGCCCATAGAGTTAGTTAAACAGGGTAGAGAGACACAACGGGAAAGGCCTTAATATCAATGAATGATGCCAGGCTTTTCAACATTTCAGCTGGAGACTAAGTGGAGCATTCAATTAAATAAAATCCACTTAAATGATTGGTCGAATTTTGTTGACGAAGCAGTCGAATTGGCAAATGTTTGAGTTACATACTATACAGAGTATATTTATGGGAAGAAGGGAGGGTTTTGCTATGCCTGCTAAATGTTCTATGTCAATAGGTAATGATTTGATGTCATGTCCATAACCCAGCATCTGCAATCAATATTCAAGTCCCTTATTATCAAAGTTGTCTCAGATCAGGAACAAAGAGTAATCTGGTTACAACTACAGTGTGGTTGAAGGGAAACAGCATCCAACATGGGAAGATGAGAGCAAAGCTCATCATCTCTCATAAAACGAAGACTGACAGAGAGAGAGCAAGATACATAAAAGACATAGCCAGAGAAGAAGAACATGAAGAAGACAAAGCAAGAGAGATAAAAAGAGATTAAAAGAGAGACCAGCACAATAGAATAAAGGATGGAAAGATGGAGGAAGGAAATCATAAGAGGAGGCAGGAAGTAACATAGAGTCCATTGGAGAAGTTACTTACATCCACAATGAAGAAGTCCAGCCAACACCAGGCGTTGGTGAAGTATTTGACCCAGCCATAGGCCACCCATTTGAGCACCATCTCCAGGATGAAGATATAGGTGAACACGCTGTCTGCGTACTCTAGGATGATCTTGATGGTCTTCCTCTTATTTATGTACACATCCTCAAAGGCCTGGGGGGAGGGGCCAACAGAACACCAGCAGGTTAACAACACTGACGTGACTGGACGTCTTGTCTTATGATTAGGCCTCTGAGTGGCCCTCTCTATGGTTTAAAAGATAGTTTTGACGTTTGCTTTTCCTGTTGAAATATGAATTTTCTGCAAACGACAGTATATAGTGTTAAAGGTGCAATTGGGAACAATAGCAAAGACCATCCTGTCTCAGTCCTCCAAAAAGTGTTACGTTGTCTTTTTTATATACAGTATTGTTTTCTCTACATAATCTTACTGATTGCGTCTAATGTCTTGGGATTCAACTGTGCTAACGTTGATACTGCCCTATGTTCATGGCAAACTATGTGAATGTGAATTTAGTTGTTCTCTCTCATACAACAATGTATTGAATGCTCTCAGGATGTGCAGTGTTTACATAGTCACTGCCCACAGCAGTGAAAGAGGAGGTAGGCTACTGTAAGTGATGGAACAGGTTCTCTCTGTACTGTAGGGTTAATAGTCCACTCAGCTCCACTATTCTATATCCCCTCTGTCCATTCCTGAACACATACAGTGCCTTCAGAAAGTGTTCATACACCTTGAAATATTCCACATTTTGTCGTTACAGCATGAATTCAACATTTATTAAAAATATTTTTCTCAGCCATCCACACACAATACCCCATAATGACAAAGTGAAAACATGTTTTTACAAATGTTAGCAAATTTATTGAAAATGAAATACAGAAATATCTCATTTACATAAGTATTCACAGCCCTAAGTCAATTAATCTTACAGTCACCTTTGGCAGCGATTACAGCTGTGAGTATTTCTGGGTAAGTCTCTAAGAGCTTTGCACACCTGGATTGTACAATATTGACCCATTATTATTTTAAAAATTCTTCAAGCTCTGTCAAATTGGTTGTTGATCATTGCTAGACAACCATTTTCTGGTCTTGCCATAGATTTTCAAGCAAATTTAAGTAAAAACAGTAACTCAGCAAATCAGGAACATTCACTGTCTTCTTGGTAAGGAAGTCAAAAGAATTGAGAGTGGTACTCAGTACTGTGTTGTATTGGATTTGCCTCGAACATAACACTTTGTGTTCAGGACAAAAAGTTAATTGCGTTACCACATTTTTTGCAGTATTACTTTAGTGCTTTGTTTTAAAACTGGATGCATGTTTTGGAATTTTTTTATTCTGTACAGGCTTCCTTCTTTTCACTCTGTCAATAAGGTTAGTATTGTGGAGTAATACAATGTTGTTGAGCTATCCTCAGTTTTCTCCTTTCACAGCCATTAAACTCTGTAACTGTTTTAAAGTCACCATTGGCCTAATGGGGAAATCCCTGAGCAGTTTCCTACCTCTCCAACAACTGAGTTAGGAAGGACGCCTGTATCGATACACTATCCAAAGGTTAATTAATAACTTCACCATGCTCAAAGGGATATTCAATGTCTGCTTTTAAATATTTACCCATCTACCAATAGGTGCCCTTCTTTGCGTGGCATTGGAAAAAGTCCCGATCTTTGTGGTTGAATCTGTGTTTGAAATTCACTGCTTGACTGAGGGACCTTACACATAATTGTATGTGTGGGGTATATAACAAATGAGTTGAATACTTATTGACTCAAGACATTTCAACTTTTCATTTTTAATTCATTTAAAAAAATTCAGAAAAACATCATTCCACTTTGACACTATGGGTTATTGTGTGTAGGCCAGTGACAAAAAAAATCTACATTTAATCGATTTTAAATTCAGGCTATAACACAACAAAATGTGGAAAAAGTCAATGGGTGTGAAAATGTTCACTTCAGAAAATATTCACACTCTTTTTCCACATTGTGTTGTGTTGAGATTTTGTGTCACTGGCCTTCACACAATACACCATAAAGTCAAAGTGGAATTATGTTTTTAGAAATGTTTACAAATTAATTAAAAATGAAAAGCTGAAATGTCTTGAGTCAGTAAGTAGTCAACCCCTTTGTTATCGCAAGCCTACAGTTGAAGTCGGAAGTTTACATACACCTTCGCCAAATACATTTAAACTCAGTTTTTCACAATTCCTGACATTTAATCCTAGTAAAAATTCCCTGTCTTAGGTCAATTAGGATCACCACTTTATTTTAAGAATGTGAAATGTCAGAATAACAGTAGAGAGAATGATTTATTTCAGCTTGTATTTCTTTCATCACATTCCCGGTGGGTCAGAAGTTTACATACACTCAATTAGTATTTGGTAGCATTGCCTTTAAATTGTTTAACTTGGGTCAAACGTGTCAGGTAGCCTTCCATAAGCTTCCCACAATAAGTTGGGTGAATTTTGGCCCATTCCTCCTGACAGAGCTGGTGTAACTGAGTCAGGTTTGTAGGCCTCCTTGCTCGTACACACTTGTCAGTTCTGCCCACAAATGTTCTATAGGATTGAGGTCAGGGCTTTGTGATGGCCACTCCAATACCTTGACTTTGTTGTCCTTAAGCCATTTTGCCACAACTTTGGAAGTATGCTTGGGGTCATTGTCCATTTGGAAGACCCATTTGCGACCAAGCTTTAACTTCCTGACTGATGTCTTGACATGTTGCTTCAATATATCCACATCATTTTCCATCCTCATGATGCCATCTATTTTGTGAAGTGCACCAGTCCCTCATCCAGCAAAGCACCCCCACAGCATGATGCTGCCACCCCCGTGCTTCACGGTTGGTATGGTGTTCTTCGGCTTGCAAGCCACCCCCTTTTTCCTCGAAACATAACGATGGTCATTATGGCCAAACAGTTCTATTTTTGTTTCATCAGACCAGAGGACATTTCTCCAAAAAGTATGATCTTTGTCCCCATGTGCAGTTGCAAACCGTAGTCTGGCTTTTTTATGGCGGTTTTGGAGCAGTGGCTTCTTCCTTGCTGAGCGGCCTTTCAGGTTATGTCGATATAGGACTCGTTTTACTGTGGATATAGATACTTTTGTACCTGTTTCATCCAGCATCTTCACAAGGTCCTTTGCTGTTGTTCTGGGATTGATTTGCACTTTTTGCACCTTTTCATCTCTAGGAGACAGAACGCGTCTCCTTCCTGAGCGGTATGGCGGCTGCCTGGTCCCATGGTGTTTATACTTGCGTACTATTTTTTGTACAGATGAACGTGGTACCTTCAGGCGTTTGGAAATTGCTCCCAAGAATGAACCAGACTTGTAGAGGTCTACCATTTGTTTTCTGAGGTCTTGGCTGATTTCTTTTGATTTTCCCATGATGACAAGTAAAGAGGCACTGAGTTTGAAGGTAGGCCTTCAAATACATCCACATCCAATTAAGTCAAATGATGTCAATTAGCCTATCAGAAGCTTCTAAAGCCATGACATCATTTTCTGGAATTTTCCAAGCTGTTTAAAGGCACAGTCAACTTAGTGTATGTACATTTCTGACCCACTGGAATTGTGATACAGTGAATTATAAGTGAAATAATCTGTCTGTAAACAATTGTTGGAAATATTACTTGTGTCATGCACAAAGTAGATGTCCTAACCGACTTGCCAAAACTATAATTTGTTAACAAGAAATTTGTGGAGTGGTTGAAAAATCTAGTTTTAATGACTCCAACCTAAGTGTATGTAACTTCTGACTTCAACTGTAAGTGCAGGAGTAAAAATGTGCTTAACACGTCACATAATATGTTGCATGGACTCACTCTGTGCACAATAATAGTGTTTAACATGATTTTTGAAGGACTATCTCATCTCTGTACCCCACACATACAATTATCTCTACGTCTCTCAATCGAGCAGTGAATTTCAAACACAGATTCAACCACAATGACCAGGAAGATTTTCCAATGCCTCGCAAAGAAGGGCACCTATTGGTAGATGGGTAAAGATAAATAAAAGTAGACATTGAATATCCCTTTGAGCATGGTGAAGTTATTAAATACGCTTTGGATGGTGTATTAATACACCCAGTCACTACAAAGATACAGGCGTCCTTCCTAACTCAGTTGCCGGAGAGGAAGCGAACCGCTCAGGGATTTCATCATGAGGCCAATGGTGACTTTAAAACAGTTACAGAGTTTAATGGCTGTGATAGGAGAAAACTGAGGATGTATCAACAACATTGTAGTTACTCCGCAATACTAACCTAAATGACAGAGTGAAAAGAAGGAAGCTTGTACAGAAAAAAAGTATTCCAGAACATGCATCCTGTTTGCAATAAGGCACTAAAGTAAAAAAGCAAAAAATGTGTCAAAGAAATTCAATTTATGTCCTGAATACAAACGGTTATGTTTGAGGCAAATCCAACACAACACATCACTGTGTACCTCTCTTCATATTTTCAAGCATGGTGGTGGCTGCATCATGTTATGGGTATGCTTGTCATCAGCAAGGACTAGGGAGTTTTTTGGGGGGATAAAAATAAACGGAATAGAGCTAAGCATAGGCAAAATCCTAGAGGAAAACATGGTTCAGTCTGCTTTACAACAGACACTGGGAGACCAATTCACCTATCAGCAGGACAATAACCTAAAACACAAGGCCAAATATACACTGGAGTTGCTTAGACGACATTGAATATTCCTGAGTGGCCTAGTTACAGTTTTGACTTAAATCTGCTTGAAAATCTATAGCACGACATGAAAATGTATGTCTAGCATTAATCAATAACCAACTTGACAAAGCTTGAATAATTTTTAAAATAATAAATGCAAATATTGTACAATCCAGGTGTGCAAAGCTCTTAGAGACTTACCCAGAAAGACTCACAGCTGTAATCACTGCCAATGGTGATTCTAACATGTATTGACTCAGGGGGTTGAATACCTACAGTGGGGAAAAAAAGTATTTAGTCAGCCACCAATTGTGCAAGTTCTCCCACTTAAAAAGATGACAGAGGCCTGTAATTTTCATCATAGGTACACGTCAACTATGACAGACAAAATAAGGAAAAAAAATCCAGAAAATCACATTGTAGGATTTTTTATGAATTTATTTGCAAATTATGGTGGAAAATAAGTATTTGGTCACCTACAAACAAGCAAGATTTCTGGCTCTGACAGACCTGTAACTTCTTCTTTAAGAGGCTCCTCTGTCCTCCACTTGTTACCTGTATTAATGGCACCTGTTTGAACTTGTTATCAGTATAAAATACACCTGTTCACAACCTCAAACAGTCACACTCCAAACTCCACTATGGCCAAGACCAAAGAGCTGTCAAAGGACACCAGAAACAAAATTGTAGACCTGCACCAGGCTGGGAAGACTGAATCTGCAATAGGTAAGCAGCTTGGTTTGAAGAAATCAACTGTGGGAGCAATTATTAGGAAATGGAAGACATACAAGACCACTGATAATCTCCCTCGATCTGGGGCTCCACGCAAGATCTCACCCCATGGGGTCAAAATGATCACAAGAACGGTGAGCAAAAATCCCAGAACCACACGGGGGGACCTAGTGAATGACCTGCAGAGAGCTGGGACCAAAGTAACAAAGCCTACCATCAGTAACACACTACGCCGCCAGGGACTCAAATCCTGCAGTGCAAGACGTGTCCCCCTGCTTAAGCCAGTACATGTCCAGGCCCGTCTGAAGATTGCTAGAGTGCATTTGGATGATCCAGAAGAGGATTGGGAGAATGTCATATGAAACCAAAATATAACTTTTTGGTAAAAACTCAACTCGTCGTGTTTGGAGGACAAAGAATGCTGAGTTGCATCCAAAGAACACCATACCTACTGTGAAGCATGGGGGTGGAAACATCATGCTTTGGGGCTGTTTTTCTGCAAAGGGACCAGGACGACTGATCCGTGTAAAGGAAAGAATGAATGGGGCCATGTATCGTGAGATTTTGAGTGAAAACCTCCTTCCGTCAGCAAGGGCATTGAAGATGAAACGTGGCTGGGTCTTTCAGCATGACAATGATCCCAAACACACCACCCGGGCAACGAAGGAGTGGCTTCGTACGAAGCATTTCAAGGTCCTGGAGTGGCCTAGCCAGTCTCCAGATCTCAACCCCATAGAAAATCTTTGGAGGGGGTTGAAAGTCTGTGTTGCCCAGCGACAGCCCCAAAACATCACTGCTCTAGAGGAGATCTGCATGGAGGAATGGGCCAAAATACCAGCAACAGTGTGTGACAACCTTGTGAAGACTTACAGAAAACGTTTGACCTGTGTCATTGCCAACAAAGGGTATATAACAAAGTATTGAGAAACTTTTGTTATTGACCAAATACTTATTTTCCACCATAATTTGCAAATAAATTCATAGAAAATCCTACAATGTGATTTTCAGGATTTTTTTTCCTCATTTTGTCTGTCATAGTTGACGTGTACCTATGATGAAAATTACAGGCCTCTCTCATCTTTTTAAGTGGGAGAACTTGCACAATTGGTGGCTGACTAAATACATTTTTTCCCCACTGTATTAGTGTTTTATTTTTCATAAATTTTTACAAATGGTAGGAAAACACATTTTGTTTAGATCATTGACAAAAAATGACAATTAAATCAATTTTTATCCCACCTTGTAACACAACAAAATGTGGAAAAAATCAAGGGGTGTGAATACTTTCTGAAGGCACTGTAAGCATTCTGAATCACCATTGTTCTACAGTCCCACAGAAAGCTGCAAACTAAGCTGTATTCCTTTGGTTAAAAGGTTAATGCATTACAGAACTTTGCTGCTCATTAGCAAGAATCATATCACAAACAGTCGCAGAAGAAAGGCAAAAGGCATGATATCTCTAAGACTTACACTTTGCAAGAAGGGGGAATAAAATATTTAATTATTTAATTATTCAATTTCAGTACATTCTGTCAGAACTGATACGGTTTACTGTAAGACAGTACTTAATGGTGCAGTATGAGCTAAACTGTTAGTGTGTGTGTGTGTGTGTGTTTTGTTTTACTATCCTTGTGGGAACCAGAAGTCCCCACAAGGATAGTAAAACAAGTGGGGACATTTCACAGGTCCACCCAAGGAAAAAGGCTTAGGGGTTAGGTTTAGGGCTAGGGTTAGAATTAGAGTTAGGGTTAGGTTTAGGAGTTAGGGTTAGGTTTAGGTTAAGGATTAGGGTTAGGTTTAGGGTTTGGAAAAATAGGATTTTGAATGGGAATCAATTGTTTGGTCCCCAGAAGGATAGTAAAACAAACGTGTGTGTGTGCGTTCTTACCAACGCCCCGCTACTGAGAAGGATCATGAAGATGATGACCGTCTCAAACCAGTTATGCTCCACGATCAGGTAGCTTGTCTTCCTCAGGAACCACCAGTGCTTCCCCCAGCCATGATCGATGGGCAAGTACAAAAACGTATACTTGGCAACGCATTCTGGATAAGAGGGCACACACACACACACACACTCACTGTTAATGATACAGACAAACACGTTTAGTACATGTACACACTATTGACTACACACACACATAAAATGGCCTCATTATGCCATACAAACTGAAGATGATGACAAACACTCACAGACCCACACTTGGCATGGCCAATAAGTGCTATTGTGGCCAGACTGAGCCCTGTGTCTCTCTGTGGGTTCTTAGTTACCATCTGTCCAGCAGGCATCTGGGTCCAGGAACTCCTCCACAACCTCCACCACCACCACCTCCTCCACATCAGGCTTGATGTCTATGGTGCTGCCCTCCGAAGAGCTAGTGTCATCCAGCTGAGGCAGACAACAGGAGAGAGGGTCAGACAGAAACAGGAGAGAGGAAGGGAGGAACCTCAAATCAAACTCCTAACATCACAGAACATTATGTGGTGTTATGAGCTAGTATGTACAAAGATACTGCACAGTGGTACCCACTGCCTACAAAAGCATCCACTAGTCACCCGCTCACCCTTTCTGTGGATACCTCATAGGTATAATGATTTAAGGGCCACGTAACCTAACCAGGAAAAACTCTGTGTTGCAGTTGGAGGTTAGATGCTACGTGTTGTCTGCATTTTTAACACATTCTCTTACATTCCGACCATGGATGTGTGGGTAACCTTGTCTATTTGCCCTGAAGTGAGTATTATTAATAGCAACATTGACCAGCTAGTCATTAACCTTGGCTGCTGATTGATTACATTATTAGGGCTGGTCACTGATAAATATGCATATGCAGAATTGACAGTGATGCATGATTTGTTTCTAGGTATCTTTATGTAAATAGACTAGAGCATTAGATCCAGTGGTAAAAGCTTTTACTCAATGCACAGGATAAAACACATATGGCAATCAAGAGGGGCCAGTATGAAAAATGTATGCACTCACTATCTGTAAGTCGCTCTGGATAAGAGCGTCTGCTAAATGACTAAAATGTAAAATGTAAATTAAAGTGAGGTGGGGGAAGGATCATAGGCCTGGGCTTTTTAATTCATGTCTCATGGTAAAGATACTCACAGACTCTCAGAAGAAATTCTTAAATACAACAGTCCAGCTACAAACGACGACCGTTACCAAAGTATTATTTGATATGATTACAGTGAAACAGTTATGGAGAGATGATTCAACACATAGGCCTATGACAGGCCTAAAATGTAAATATATTGAGGCTGATTTCGACCAGCATGTTTAGGTAGAGACGTTTAAACAGACATATGCCTGGTCTAGCCAACCTAATAAATCATCTTAAAGCTGAACAGTAAGTCAAGGTGAACTAGGAAACACACGCATGCACGCACACACACACACACACACACACACACACACACAGAGCCAATCCAATTCACGGATGAATGACGCTTCACTTTAGAATCCTGAATCGTCAGCAGAAAGACTGTGCTTCTCTCTCTTACTCTCACACAGAGTCTCTCTCTCCCCCTCTCTCTTGCTCTCTTTCTCCAGTATCACAAACAGACAGACAGATCGCTGACTGGCTGACAGGGGCTCTGTGTCCGTCCAATCGCTGCAGGGCTGGGCTGTGACAGGCTTAGCTGCAGGATAGCCTGCCGTGTGGTTGGTGGAGACAGGTAGGGGAGAAGACTGGGGATCTGGTACAGGTATTGGAGCTGCTGCATAACTTCCCTCTGCAAACCAGGTCAAGGTGACCCAAGCATCAACGCTCCACAACATATCCACATACTGTACGAGTGAGAAGGACCTTTCCCACACGTTGACATACACAAAGCAGTGTCCGTCAGTCTGTCTGTCTGTCAGTCTGCAGATTCAGTGGTACTGCCATGTCTAAACACATTTTCTGAAACGTCAGGTCATCTGCCGGTCTCCTGTGTTCGCCCCTCTGTGTTCACCGTTCTCTATTCACCGCTCAGTCCAGTGTTGATGAGTGGATTAAAAAGACACACATTGCATACACACACATATACACACAAATGCACTTTAAGCCGTTACATCATCCACTACATTAAGACTGCAATCTCAAGAGCCTCAGCATATACAGTGCCTTCAGAAAGTATTCACACCCCTTTACTTTTTCCACATTTTCTTGTGTTACAGCCTGAATTTAAAATGGCTACAATTGAGATCATACCCCATAATGTCAAAGTGGAATTGTTCTTTTTTTAATGTTTACAAGTTAATAAAAAATGAAAAGCTGAAAAGTATTCAACCCCTTTGTTATGGCAAACCTAAATAAGTTCAGGAGCAAGAATTTGCTTAACAAGTCACATAATAATTTGTACCATCTCTGTACCCCACACATACAATTATCTGTAAGGCCCCTTAGTCGAGCAGTACATTTCAAACACCAATTCAACCACAAAGACCAGGGAGGTTTTCCAATGCCTCGTGAAAAAGGGCACCTATTGGTAGATGGGTAAAAAAAAAAAAAGGGAGACACTGAATATCCCTTTGAGCATGGTGAAGTTATTATTTACACTTTGGATGGTGTATCAATACACCCACTCACTACAAAGTTACAGGCGTCCTTCCTAACTCAGTTACTAGAGAGGAAGCAAACCGCTCAGGGATTTCACCATGAGGCCAATGGTGACTTTAAAACAGTTACAGAGTTTAATGGCTGTGATAGGAGAAAACTGAGGATGGATCAACAACATTGTAGTTACTCCACAATACTAACCTAAATGACAGAGCGAAAAGAAGAAAGCATGTACAGAATACAAATATTCCTAAATATGGTTTCTGTTTGCAATAAAGCACTAAAGTAAAACTGCAAAAGATGTGGCAAAGAAATGTACTTTATGTCCTGAATACAAAGCGTTGTGTTTGGGGAAAATCCAACACATCACTGAGTACCACTCTTCATATTTTCAAGCATGGTGGTGGCTGAATCATGTTATGGGTATGCTTGTCATCAGCAAGGACTAGGGAGTTTTTTTTAATGATACAAATAAATGGAATAGAGCTAAGCACAGGCAAAATCCTAGAGGAAAACCTGGTTCAGTCTGCTTTCCAAACAGACACTGGGAGACAAATTCACCTTTTAGGAGGACAATAACCTAAAACACAAGGCCAAATATACACTGGAGTTGCTTACCAAGATGACACTGAATGTTCCTGAGTGGCCTAGTTACAAGTTTGACTTAAATCGGCTTGAAAATCTATGGCAAGACTTGAAAATGGCTGTCAACTTGACAGAACTTGAGGAATAAAAATAAATAAAAGAAGTGCAAATATTGTACAATCCAGGTGTGCAAAGCTCTTAGAGACTTACCCAGAAAGACACACAGCTGTAATCGCTGCCAAAGATGATTCTAACATGTACTGACTCAGGGGTGTGAATACTTATATAAATGAGATATTTCTGAATTTCATTTTCAATAGATATGCAAACATTTCTATAAACATGTTTTTACTTTGTCATTATGGGGTATTTTGTGTAGATGGGTGAGAAAATATGGTTGAATTCAGGCAGTAACACAACAAAATGTGGAATAAGTCAAGCGGTATAAACACTTTCTGAAGGCGCTGTATTTGGCTACTCTGCAAAGCATCATGCTATAACTAGAAAAGGAACATTTCCTGAAGAAAATGTGAGCGATTGCATCAGCTATTTAACAGAAGTGGTCTTGCTGAAGCAAGCACATTAATTAAAATGAAAATGCTGGATAACAATAGTGGTTAGTAGCAAGGGTTGGACCAGAAAATAATGAAATTATTTGAGGAACAGAACCCTAACCTGAAACTAAAGTGATCTATACTGTTCCGGAACAGAACCGTTATTTTAAAAGCATGGGAACCGGTTAATAACGTTATTTTACGTTCTGGCAATTTTTTCCAGTCCCACAAAAATCGCAACAAAGCATAAATGCAAAGCCCTCACTGCCACTCAGAAACGTATTCCAGCGTCTGCCTGCCAGCTGGAAATCTTTGCCAGTGGGTGTACTTGTGTGTAGGCTATCTGCCCCTCCCCTCTGAAGCATAGGTTACTGTAGCCTACTGCCGACGTTACAAACATGGTGCTGAAGAAAACATTTCCCTGTACTAATACAGGACTAGTAAAGGCCCAGTGCACTATTTTTGTGAAAAAATACTTGTTTATTTATATATATATATGCTAAATGTAAAACAAATGACAGTTTCAGAGGTTTAAAAAGGAATAGAAAGGAACGATAGAAACTGGTACTTTTTTTTTGGTTCGAACTGGTTCAGAACTTTATTTTGCTGGTCGGAACAGTGGAGCGGAATGAAATAAATAATGGTTCTGTTCAGAATGAAACGATTGGAAAATAATTTTGGTTCCAACCCCTGGTTAGTAGTGGGATCAAGCACACTAATAAGCTTGAGGCATAATGTTTTGCTATAAGGAATACATTTTTCCTGGGATTGATTTGTTTTCTGGAGCGTGTTAACTATTTCTAGTTAACCATTAGAAGATGCGCATGTGAAGGTAAGCACTTTGTTGGCACACCTTGCTAAATCCTATTTAGTCACAAAGTCATTCTTTCTCATCACTACCGTATTGCAGCTTGTATTAGCTAACATAAATGTAGCTGTACATTACCTTCAAAGTCAGTCATAGAAATATAATTCATAGAACGGACAACCCTATTCAAGTCAATGGGTCGGTGATGGGTAGACCGGCGGACATTTTTAGAGTACCCATGATCAGAAAATAAAGCTGGAAGTACAGCATTCAATTTGTGCTTTATTAACAGTCAACACAATTGACATTATAAAGCCACAGCATCATTTTAATGAACATTCCATGTTAACGTGGCAATTAAGCATACAATGTCAGCCATATTGAGTGTACCCACAAGGGGCCGTCAAATTGCCATGGTTTGAGAGGCTATTCCACTTCTAGGAGTTATTTTTCTATGGTCACAGTCTCATCATTGGCATATTGTAGCTTGCATTTGCTAACAAAAGCATATACATTACCTCCTTCTACTCATCAGGAGAGCCGGTGACGGATAAAGGCAAACACATTAGCCACGGTTCAACTTGTGAAAGACGATGCGATTACTAAAATAACTATCTTTTGATTGGTATAAGCTAATCCTGTTGTGATTTCTGATTTGAGTTACAGATCCGTTGCATTTGTTTCAGTACCTAGCTATCTAGGTTTGCAAAATACATTGTGTTAGTTGTGCTAGTTAGCTAACTAGCTTGTTGGTTTAGCTATGAAACATGTTTAGTTAGGTGAGATATAGCTAAATCAAAGAGGTTCTATACAGAAAGAGACATTTCTAACGGCCATTCCAATACAAACCCTTGATCACGCTAGCTAGCAGTGTCATGGCCACCAAGCTACGTAGAAACACGTGATCATCTCAAGTTAACGAGCTGCAACAAACTGCACATGTGCAGTATGGTACTCCTTTGAAATAAAGTTGTTTTTGAGAAATATGAATGTGTCACACTTTTGTGGCTATGTAGGGAAGACATATTCAGCTAATGCATTTAGATTCTGTGAAAACCTACAAAAAACATATAAGAAGTCAGAAGTATGAGCAATCTTAGAGGAGTGGATGCTATATTTGACAAAGTCTCAACAACTCAATTAACAACTTATCTTAAACCTCCAACAGAACTCTGTCAAACCTTCCACCTAATCAAGCACCAAAAACACCCCTTCCCATTTTCCGATTAACCACCTTCCTCAACCACCCACCTCCCCTCTTATATACCCCACGGCCCAACCAAAAGTATACATTTCTATATTTAAATAGCATAGAAATAATTTATCACACCCATTCCTCCATACTCACGTCTTTGCTGTTCTCCGCATCCGACTCGCTGCTGAAGTCCTCGGTGTTGAGGTTATCGAAGTCTGACTCCCCGACCGCAATGGGAACGCACACGGTCAGGTTGGGATTGTGGATGAAGGACATGTGGTCCTCGTCGATCATGTACTTGCCCACGCTACTGCCAATACCGCTGGTAGTGCCATTGATGTAGTCCAACTCGCGGTTGATGTCTATGCCCTTCTGGTTCGCGATGCAGTTAAGCTTCTCGTCAAACTCATCAAGATGCTTCTGCTCATCCTCTGCTTCTTCCTCCTCCTTGCAATCAGAATCAGATTTAAAATCAGTCAGGAAACAAATACTGACGTTCAAGTACATTGTGAAAGAGTTTGTCTTGGTGTTGTTAAAACAACACAGAAACAACACAACAATGACATCAGAGTGATGTCATACATAACATAACATAGAGGACATGCCATCACAGCATACCTTCTTCATAACCTCGGCTACAAAGACCTTGGCCCAGGCAATCCCCGTCTTTATTCGACCGACGGCTATTTGCAGGTTGTTCTGTTCTCCATCATCGTCTGAGGGTGCCAGGTTGTCTGCGCTGAACGAGCTCAGCAACAAAGCAAGGAACAGGTTCAACACCTGGGGAGAGGGCCGTGCACAGAGAGCAGGTCTTAGCAGATGTGTCACTAACTGCAAACTAACTGATATCAGGCTTAACCAGACCAAAATTATAATGCACAAACCATTGTTACACGTGGATGTGGATGCAGAAATGCTACTTGCTTCCAATTCACTAAGTGAAGGCCTGATCTTCACAGGTAGGGTATGCAAGAAACTGCTACTCGAATATGGATATTTCAATGGTTGTTTTTCTTACCACCAAGTTGCCTATGACCATGACCATCAAGAAGACGATCATGCACATGTTCTGGCCGGCCACCTCCATGCAGTCCCACATGGATTCGATCCACTCCCCGCACAGAACCCGAAACACCATGAGAAATGAGTGAAAGAAGTCGTTCATGTGCCAACGGGGCAGCTTACAGCTTATAGCGATCTTACAAACACAGTCCTTGTAGTTCTTTCCAAACAGTTGCATGCCAACCACGGCGAAGATGAAGACGATAAGGGCCAGCACCAAGGTCAAGTTTCCCAGGGCTCCCACAGAAGAATGAATGATTTTGATGAGCATGTTGAGTGTGGGCCACGACTTGGCCAGCTTAAACACTCTCAGCTAGATAAGAGACAGAGAGGGAGGGAGGGGAGGAGAGACAGATTTGAGGTGTGTGTGTGTGTGTGTGGGGGGGGGGGGGGTTAGATGTCAATACATGTTGATCATACTGTATGAGAATTTGGTCATTAGTCAAGTCAAGCTAACTCTGCTGCAGAGTGAACCCTTCACCACACCTGTGGTATATTGTCTGGACATCAGGGTCATAGATGGTTATCAATACGCTCCCTCATTCCAATCCACACCACTTTTCCTACTCACCAATCGGAATGACCTGAGCACAGATAGACCCTCAATGTCAGCCAATACCAGCTCGACTAAACTGAGGGTCACGATGAAGCTGTCAAAACAATTCCAGCCCTCCTGGAAGTAGTAGTATGGATCCATGGCAGCCAGCTTGGCAAACATCTCACCAGCAAAGATACCAGTGAAAACCTGTGAGTGCAAAGAGAGACAGAGGTTAACAGTCGGATCCTAGGGTCAAGCTGCCAGTGTAGGACACAGGGTTGGGGTCAACCCCACTTCAATTCAGGAGATTCATTGAATTTCAATTCAATAGTCGAAAGGTGCAATTTAGACTGTAAAGGGGTTGCTGTGAATTTGACAGTAACTTACCGGCAGCTAGTGGCAAGTAAGTACAGTAACCAATGACACACAGTATTATACTGTAAACAAGTAAATGCTACTGTAATTGTAATTAATTAATTAAATAATTAATCAACCAATTAATCAAATTCATTGAGGGGAGATGTGTTTTTTTATTTTACAGTATTTTACTCTAATTACATACACTGTAAAAAAGCCAACTTAACCAATCGCTTAATCAGCATTATTCTGTGAGTTGAGTGGACTTCTAAAGGACAAGAATTTGACATAATGTGTTTACTCAACAAACACTGTGAGCTGATTTGAACAAGCTTGTTGAGTTTGCTCAAAACCATGCCCATCATTATAATTTTTCCCAGCCTGCTTTATTGCAGGTTGATATTCAGAATTATTTGTTTAATACCTGTGTTTTTGAATGTACATTGATTGGTTGATTAATCTAATGCTACACAACCATAAATAAGATACATTTTTCAAAACGGATCTAATCTGTTAGTAGTTGGACTTAATGCACCCATTATTGAGATGGCTGTTCCAGTTTATATGATTTAGGTAGTCTCAATAATTAAATGATTAGAAGTTCCAATTGTTGGCTATTCTCACTCTGGCTGGATTTCAATAGGCTGCCGAAGTTCTATCAACATAGCGACTGTTGTACTCGCGCTGCCAAAATCCTCGACCATTGCTATTCGAACTTCCAGGATGGTTATAAGGCCCTCCCCCGCCCTCCTTTCGGTAAATCTGACCACGACTCCATTTTGCTTCTCCCTTTCTATAGGCTGAAACTCAAACAGGAAGTACCTTTGCTAAGGACTATTCAGCACTGGTCTGACTAATCGGAATTCACGCTTCAAGATTGTTTTAATCACGCGGACTGGAATATGTTCCGGGTAGCTTCCGAAAATAATTTAGACGAATACCCTGAAACGGTCACTGAGTTTATCAGGAAGTGTATAGGTGATGTTGTGCGCACTGTGACTATTAAAACCTACCCTAACCAGAAACCGTGGATAGATAGCAGCATTCGCGCAAATCTGAAAGCGCAAACCACCGCATTCAACCATGGCAAGGTGACTGGGAATATGGCAGAATACAAACAGCGTAGCTACTCACTCCGCAAGGCAATTAAACGGGCAGAACATCAGTATAGAGACAAGGTGGAGTCGCAATTCAACGGCTCAGACACGAGACGTATGTGGCAGGGTCTACAGACAATCACGGACTACAAAAGGAAAACCAGCCACATCGCCGACACCAACGTCTCTCTTCCAGACAAGCTAAACACCTTCTTTGCCCGCTTTGAGGATAACACAGTGCCACTGACGAGGCCCACTACCAAGGACTGTGGCCTCTCCTTCTCCATGGCCAACGTGATTAAGACATTTAAGCATGTTAACCCCCGCAAGGCTGCCGGCCCAGACGGCATCCCTAGCCACGTCTTCAGAGCATGCGCAGACCAGCTGGCTGGTGTGTTTATGGACATATTCAATCTCTCCCTTTCCCAGTCTGCTGTTCCCACATGCTTCAAGATGGCCACCATTGTTCCTGTACCCAAGAAAGCAAAGGTAACTGAACTAAATGACTATCGCCCTGTAGCACTCATCTCTGTCATCATGAAGTGCTTTGAGAGACTAGTCAAGGATCATATCACCTCTACCTTACCTGTCACCCTAGACCCACTTCAATTTGCTTACCGCCCCAATAGATCCACAGACGATGCAATTGCCATCACACTGCACACTGCCCTATCCCATCTGGACAAGAGGAATACCTATGTAAGAATGCTGTTCATTGACTATAGCTCAGCATTCAACACCATAGAACCCTCCAAGCTCATCATTAAGCTCGAGGCCCTGGGTCTGAACCCCGCCCTGTGCAACTGGGTCCTGGACTTCCTGACGGGCCGCCCCCAGGTGGTGAAGGTAGGAAACAACATCTCCACTTTGCCGATCCTCAACACTGGAGCCCCACAAGGGTGCATGCTCAGCCCCCTCCTGTACTCCCTGTTCACCCATGACTGCAGCACGCCTCCAACTCAATCATCAAGTCTGCAGACTACACAACAGTAGTAGGCTTGATCACCAACAATGACGAGACCGCCTACAGGGAGGAGGTGAGGGCTCTGGGAGTGTGGTGCCAGGAAAATAACCTCTCACTCAACATCAACAAAACAAAGGAGATGATGATCGTGGACTTCAGGAAACAGCAGAGGGTGCACCCCCCTATCCACATCGACGGGACCGCAGTGGAGAAGGTCAAAAGCTTCAAGTTCCTTGGCGTACACAACACTGACAAACTGAAATGGTCAACCCATGCAGACAGTGTGGTGAAGAAGGCACAACAGAGCCTCTTCAAACTCAGGAGGCTGAAGAAATTCGGCTTAGCACCTAAAACCCTCACAAACTTTTACAGATGCACAATTGAGAGCATCCTGTTGGGCTGTATCACTGCCTGGTACGGCAACTGCACCGCCCGCAACCGCAGGGCTCTCCAGAGGGTGGTGCGGTCTGCCGAACGCATTACCGGGGGCAAAATACCCGCCCTCCAAGACACATACAGCACCCGATGTCACAGGAAGGCCAAAAGGATCATCAAGGACATCAACCACCCGAGCCACTGCCTGTTCACCCCGCTATCATCCAGAAGGCGAGGTCAGTACAGGTGCGTCAAAGCTGGGACAAAGAGAATGAAAAAAAGCTTCTATCTCAAGGCCATCAGACTGTTAAATAGCCATCACTAGCACATTAGAGGCTGCTGCCTAATGAACTCACTGGCCACTTTAAGAAATGGAACACTAGTCACTTGAATAATGTTTACATATCTTGCACTACTCATCTCATATGTATATACTGCGTTCTATTCTATAATATTCTACTGTATCTTAGTCCATGCCGCTCTGTCATTGCTTGCCCATATATGTATATATTCTCAAATCCCATTCCTTACTAGTTTTGTGTGTATTGGGTATATGTAGTGACATTTTTAGATATTACTTCTTAGATATTACTGCACTGTCGGAGCTAGAAGCACAAGCATTTCGCTACACCCGCTATAACATCTGCTAAACAAGTGTATGTGACAAATAAAATTTGATTTGATTTGATTTGAATAGAGGGTTTGCAGTTGTGTTAGAAATCACTGTGCAACCGCAACCGCACCCAGTGCCATGTTTGAATACCAAAGTCAGTCTGTTGGAAGTTCTCCAATCGTCTACATGGCTGGCTGCGTTTTGGTACCACCAGAAACTTTGGGAAGATTGCCCATTATTTAGTTTTTCTAAGGACCCAGAAAACGGAGGCAGTGGGAGAACCTATTCAAGTAAGTAAATATATTTAGAAAATGATCAAAAACGATGTATTATTAGCTAGCTAGCTTGCTACAGAAACTTAGTGTGCAGGCTAAGTTTCTCCTAAAGTAAGTTTTGCTAGTTAGATAACTTTACATACTGTATACAGTGCATTCGGAAAGTTCAGACCCCTTGACTTTTTCCACATTTTGTTACGTTACAGCCTTATTCTAAAATGGACTAAATAGTTTTTTCCCCCTCATCAATCTACACACAATACCCCATAATGACAAAGCAAAAACTGGTTTTTGCTTTGTCATAAACCCTTTGCTATGAGACTCGAAATTGAGCTCAGGTGCATCCTGTTTCCATTGAGGATCCTTGAGATGTTTCTACAACTTGCTTGGAGTCCACCTGTGGTAAATTTAATTAATTGGACATGATTTGGAAAGGCACCCACCTATCTATATAAGGTCCCACAGTTGACAATGCATGTCAGAGCAAAAACCAAGCCATGAGGTCGAAGGAATTGTCCTTGGAGCTCCGAGACAGGATTATGTCGAGGTACAGATCTGGGGAAGGGTACAGCATTGAAGGACCCCAAGAACACAGTGGCCTCCATCATTCTTAAATGGAAGAAGTTTGGAACCACCAAGACTCTTCCTAGAGCTGTCCGCCCGGCCAAACTGAGTAATCGGGGGAGAAGGGCCTTGGTCAGGGAGGTGAACAAGAACCTGATGATCACTCTGACAGAGCTCCAGAGTTCCTCTGTGGAGACAGGTGTGTGCCTTTCAGCAAGTTGTAGAAACATCTCAAGGATGATCAATGGAAACAGGATGCACCTGAGCTCAATGCACTGTAGCTAGCTAAGTGAACTAAATATCACCAGCTTGCTAACTTCATATTAGCTAGTTAGCTAGCTATCTTGATGTATTGATCATTGTAACTCTAAATGCATTTGTAGCTAGGTAGCTAGCTAACAGCTATGGAAGAGGGTGAGAGATGGAAGAGAGAAGGATTAGCTAGCAGTTCCAGCTGTCAGAGGGAGAGTAGGCTACTCAGTTCCAATCCCTAGCGAGCAAAGCTGAGGACAGAGAGATATAGCAACATAATATTCAGTGCTGTCTAATGTGAGTATAATGCAGCATGTTTATTTTGTGATGTTTTCTGTCCTCAGATACAGATCTGTAAAACCCTGTCTGCAGATGAAGAGGTCCCAATTAATGTCCCAAGAGAATAAGGGTACATCCTTGGATACCATGGATTATATGTGTACCTATGTTAGCACATTTTGTGAACAAAAACACAATGTATAAACCTATTACAACTCGAGCAGGCCAACTCGAGCACGCTTCTGTTCCAGCCCAGCACTAACACACTTGATTCAATGTATCAAACCTAATTAATTAATAATCAAGTGTGCTGGGCTGGAACTCTCCTCCCCCGTAGATCAGGGATCAGGGGAGCGAGGTTGGCCACCTCTGGTATTGACTTTTCTTTGTTCACCTGAAATTATGCTTTAGTAATAATAGCCTACTTGTTA